AAACTTTTTTGCTTTTTCTGAATCTGTTCAAAACTCAGAATGCCGCACGATTTCCCCTCCATCGATGGCGTGTAGTAATCCAACTTTGTCACACGTTGATTGAAAACCGTACGTACACGGTATAATATGACGCTAGTGGGTCCTGGCCACAGGAGGAAAATGGAGTGGGACCCAGGCTCGGCAAAACTCGGAGCGCAGTGAAATTCAGGCTCGGCAAAAAACAGGCTTGGAGATGCTAGTGGTTTAAGAGAAAAATTTACTTGGAAACCAGGCGAGAATGGGGCCTACTCATCTCTCAGACTCCACCGTTGAGAGCCCATCGTTTCGTCTCTAGATCAGATCCTTTGAGCTACCAATCTAGCTTCATATCTTACCCAATCTCCAAACACAGTCTTCAGGAACTGGAAACTCAGCACGAGGTTCCTCCAGCCGAGCGACTAGAAACCTTCCTTCTCAAAAAGGTCAGTGTCTCCCATAATAGACCATGGATAATATTCCAGCCAGACCTCAACATCAAAGACCTGGAATTCAACCCTAAGGAGTCGATGTGGAAACAGGGCACCAGAACGATTTCCGAATACGACGTGAAATCCGGCTACAACCTCGGGCCGCAGACTTCAGATCCGAATCCCCGGCTAATAGAGAAATAGCAAAGCATCCTGAATCTAGACCCCTCGACCTCCTCCTTCACCATTCCTTGGACCAGATACCTTCTTATCTGAAGCATGCAATGGCTCCACCGTTGAGAGCCTGTTTGAATCTGCAGCATGCAGTGGCTCCTAGCACACGCAGCCCTCCCGGTCAATCAATGACTTCACAAAAGAAGGAAACACTCAGGCCCAGACAGCTCAGAACTCTGTGTTTCGTGCAATAACAACACGCCTGAAGATATCCCTCACTGCCTTCTCTTCTGTCCTGAATCGACCTGGATCCGGAACAAAGTTATGGACCTATGGTCTATCCTCAACACCTCCCCTCTAACTATGCAACTCCTTTCTAACACTCCCAGGAACCTCAAGGGCAGCAGGGAAGTCTGGTTCAATCTACTCAGAAAACTGGCACTCTGTCCTTGGGGACATCCGTTAAAATTGGAACGATACAGAGAAGGGTAT